TATGAATATAAAAGAAAGTCGTGTTAGTTACCGATTTGGCCGAAAATTGGCATGGGTAGCTTAGACCCAGACGACGGACAAAGGATACTTTTTATCCGGTTTTCGTGGGACGTAACATAAAACGTGGCATAGCAAAACGCAACAAACAAATTATTAAAATTTATCAGTCATCAGTCTAGCCGTTTATTTGTTAAAAATGGTCACTATAAAGATGGGAACTGACCAAAGTTACGAGGTGTAATGTAGGATTCGCATCGAGCGTGTAACGCATCGAGCATGTTACGCTGTGTTTAAAATCGGCGTAACATGCTCGTCAAGACTGTGCTCCGCTTTCGCGCCAGTGTTCACGAGATGGCCGACAGCGAGGACGCGTTGGTATCTTTGATTCTGCTTAATATCTATTGTTTCATCCAAATAAAGGAGAAGAAAAAATGTGGTGTATGTGGTGGTTTGTCATTGATAGCAATTTTAAAAAACCAAATGATTACTGGACAGTATAAACATTTTGTTCGCATGTCTCCGATCGATTTTGAACAACTCGTGAATTTTATTGGCATAGAAAGGATACAAATTATAGATATATATAAGAGCGTACTGAACCGCGTAACTCTCAAAGGATTCGGCAAAAAACCGACAGCCGGGTGGAGCACTCAAAGCTAGCAACGAGTGGCTTGAAAAGTACGTGAAGATTTAGCCAAAGACACCGGCTTAAGCGTCCGAGTTGTACAAGTTTGGTTCCAAAATCAACGAGCTAAGATGAAAAAGATACAGCGTAAAGTGACGCAGGAAGGCGACAAAAATGCTGATAAAGACAAAGATAAGGACGAGAAGATTATCAACCAAGAGTCGCCATCTAGTGATCAAGGCAACTTTCTCGGGCTTGACGCTGCTTACTTTGCATCCAGCCAACCTCTTAACCCCAACCTACCTTATTCTCCTGATGGTAAATATCCTTTTGACAGTTGTAATAAATACATATTAGCAGTAAAATAATTAAATTTTACTTGCCAGATTATCCAGTCCATTCTGGAGATAGGTTTTGCAGTTCAGATATATCTCGTAGATGAAAGCAATTTCGATCAACTCGATGAAGGTGCATCTGACACAATGAGCCTCCAGAATTTGGATGTGAATCATCACGGTCACAACCATTCGAACCATGGCAATCATTAACCCCTTAATCTTGGTGAATGCCATCTTAAACTAGGCTGGGGCCCTTGGGCACACAAAAATTTGGGGCCCTTTTGGAATGTAAAAAAAAAGCGTATTATAATAACCATTTACTATAGGAAATCTAATGCAGTATGATATAATATGCCATTAATGATATTAGAATGCTATTATATCCTTAAAGTCCATTTTTTAAGGATATCACTTTTTATACACGTAATTGACAAATTACTCGTCGTTCTTGTAACATTGTTGTTCTCAATTCATTATTTATTATCTTAAGCTGCGAAAATGACCGCTCTCCACTACAATTATTAGCAAAAGAATATTCTTGTAGCAATTTCTATGTTTGGAAAAGTTTCTTCCAATTTATTTAATTAGGTAATGTAATGTTGACATATTTAAATCCGTTGATTGCTATGTTTTTCAAATAATTATTGGCTTAAATGAAAAAATTCATCGGACGTCGAGACAGAATACGAAATTCCACCCCTATCACCTCGACGTCCGCCGTTCCACAACTGAGCGTTTTTCAAGGCAGTTTTTGCCGCGCACCACCACTATGTGGAATCAGCTGCCCACTGAAGTATTTCCGAACCAATTCGACTTAGGGTCCTTCAAAAAAAGAGCGTACCAATTCTTAAAAGGCCGGCAATGCACTCGCGAGCCCTCTGGCATTGAGAGTGTCCATGGGCGGCGGTATCACTTAACATCAGGTGAGCCTCCTGCCCGTTTGCCCCCCGTTCTATAAAAAAAAAATCTGTTTTGAGCTCATCTGCATTAATGTCTTCACGATAAAATTCTTTGCATTTTTTATTCAGCTCACCAGATTCGATTGTTGTTAACTGACAAAGAAAACTAAATCGACTGTCAATTTCTTGGTATGCTGCTGAACGTTTTTTTACTTGCCTCTCAACTGTGCAGTCTCTGACAATCCTTCAAAGTGATGCGTGTGCTGCGAAATCTTTTTCTTTCAAATGTGATCAACATTTTGTAAAGGAATATCAAGGTTTAAAAAAAGGTTAAAATGGTATCTGCGCAATATGTTCATCCATAGCAAAAATCTCTCAATAGGCTGTCCGTTTTTAACATATCTAATTATGAAAGTCATTTGATCAACAACAGGTGGTTGGACAGATCTGGAGAGTTCTTTGACAATGCTTTCCAAAACTTGCTGTGTCATTAAATTAATAGATTCATTACAAATATTTACCGATAAATATGATGTACTTCCTTTTCCACGATTTCCGCAATTTTGTAGATGATCAGCAAGAAAAGGATCAAATTCACTAATCAGTTTTAAGCATCCCTATTAATTACCATTATTTTGCGATCCTAATGTCTCATTATTACCACGAAAAGCAAGATCTCTTGAAGCCAAAAATTTCACTTACAAATTAACAATCCTTCTAAGCACATTCTTCCATTAGTTAATTTCTGTATTATATTGGGACATCAACTCAGTATCAATTCGTCCAGTAGATTTTTGCAAAATAATTCATGATAAATTCCCTGAGCTGTAAGCTGTTCTCATGCTCTATCAATAAGTTGCTTATATGCTTCCAATCTTTATATATATTAGGAGAATTTAAATTATGTCCGGTACCTACCAGTAGTGGTATTAGATAGACGGCAGCAATAACAGTATACAGATTTCTTTGCTGGTGAATAAAGGAGCCATTTTCTTTGTAAGGACTCACCATTCGTAAATTTACGAATAAAACTATTTTTAGTAGAGTATTTAGTTTTCGTTTTTACCACTTGAATCTGCAAAACTTGTAGAAGTTTCGGAGAAGTCACTATTTATATTTTGGAAAACTCTGGCCCTTTTCAAATCCAAAATTCACGGACTCCTTCCGGTAAAATGTCGTCATAGTAAGTAACCATTTAAATATGTTCCTGATTGCGTGAGTGATTGCTAGATGATGTAGTTATCCCCGTAGTAATTGGTAGGATGCGTTTGGAAATATTACACGGCGTGTGAGCCTTTAAATATTATACGGCGCAACAAGCAATGACTTTTAAGCGAGCATGATATATGATAATACTAATTAGGTTCAAAAGATACTTTATTTCTCAAAGAATTACATTCACTTAGCGAGAAAATTTAGAGTAAGTTAGTTATGTACATCGTGTTATGAAATTATTTGAAAATACACTATATAAAATAAAAATATTAGTTTCTAACAATATGTTTATTACAAAAGTGCAGGTAGGTCGCATCGATGTTACAACAGGCATTATGTGACAATGAATAGTAATAATTTGTAAGACGCTCGTTCGCAGACATAGGTAAATGCTAGAATAGCCTTTTTGATGTTTTGTAAATACATTAATTATTCCATTAATTCATATTAAACTTTTACGATTGTTACAGACACAGATATAGAATATGGTTGTTTTTATTTTTGTTATTTTATAGGTATTTTGTTAATTATATGTACTTTTAAAAGTTTTTTAAATTTGTAAAAAGGTTTTATTTCTTTTAATCTGGGTGGCAAGTTTTCCGTAATTAGTCCTTGGTTGTATTAAACATAATGTATCAATATTTCTTAATGAATATTTTGTATCTGATTTTTGTGTAAAGGATAGATTTGTATGAATTAATTTATTAATAATTTTGTATATTAAATAAAATAAATTATACTGAAATAATTTGATACCCGCAACACCCGTGCAAGCCGGAATAATACTGCTATGCGCTTGGGGTCCTTTAAGGGTGACCATACGATATACCATAGTTAAGTCCACGGCCAATGCCACCAGTCACACGATTACCGAAACGAATTCATTTAACTCCTTCTTTGATTTTAGTCCTTTTACTATGTCTTTAAAATTAATTGTTTCTTATAAACGTGCCAGATTCGTTCAGGAATGCTTTGTTACGCTTATTATGATTTAGAATTATAATAAAACATGTTTGAAATTAGGAGAACGTTTACGAAAGTAAATGTCTTTAATTATATTAAGAATTGTGTGTATATATACCCTAATAATTTAGATTCTACTCAACCCTTTGTAGTTTGTTGACGACTCTTATTTTCTTAGTATATATACCTAAGAACCTACATCGTATGTATTCATGTAACTAAGGCATTATGGTAGATATGTAACTATTAAAAATTCAATACGTATTCTAATAACATACAAATAGTTTAATTTATCCATCACAATATAATTAGTAAAACTGTATGTTATATTTAATCATTTAAAAAGGTTTTTAGCCAACAATATATGAATGTAGAAACTAAGAAAGCTCTCCGTGGACTTAACTTAAATTGTAAATATAAAACTTAGAACTTATAGATCTGTGTCTATTTTATAGTACATATCTTGTGAAGATCGAATTAATTAAGGAGCAATCTAGTCGCGATAATAATTCAATCGCATGGAGAAATTTCTTTTCCTTAAAACTAATTACATATAAATTTATTCATTATATGAACTATAATTTTCCAAAAGTTTTAGTCTAAAAAATTTAGTATTGCTCGCTGTATATGAATTAGGAATGTATCTTGTATAGTACCTTTTCTGTTTATAGGAAACTCTCAATAACTCACTTTTACAGATTACGTAGTCGAACCTACTGAACCTAATTTAAACTGACCTAATGAAACAAAAAGTATACTAAAAGTTCCATTAACATTAACATTTATAACAGTAAAGCTTTAACGTAGAGTCCTATTCATGAAAGAAGACCCGCGGAGATGTTTGGAACTAAATTTGACAAGTCGGCCATGTTGTCGTTCGTCGATGTTATCAAGATCGTTTGTTGTGGTAGATTTTTGTGAGTTTTAAACTAGCTTAGTGCATTTTAAATATTGTTTACAATGCCAAAAGTTGTAAAAAGTTCAGCTCGAGAAATGATATTGAAGGTGAAAGAGTTCTGTGAAGCGGAACAAAAGAATCAAGGTGTTTTAATGCCACTAAACAAAGTTTGGAAAACAGTCACCGCCATAACAGGTACTTTTTAGAGTTGCCACATAATAATTATTTGCTGTATTGATGGGACTTTTATGATATAAATTCATTTTGAGACAAAATTGAACAAATACATAACGAATGAAACTAAGTAACTGAAATTAAAACATAAACATAGTACATAAGCATAATAAACTTAAAGATACTATTATTTTAAATTGTTCGTTATTTAATTGCAGGTGTGTCAGAGAGGACTGTAACAAGAATTACAAAAGAAGGTATAACAGCGGCGAGTACTTCGAAAACAATTGTCACCCCGGGGAAGAGTCGCCCGCATCCGAAATAGTATCAATATAAAAAAAACAATTATATCTACGGCTAGTGATACTGAAAAAGAATCTGATTCTGTTTCCATCCACTCATCAGACAGTGATGTTCCTATGGCCGCTGATCACAATTATTCAATAAAACTCTGAATAAAAAATTGTAACGCTTTTCTTTACTTTCCTATTTTCGCATCTTTTTCCTGTAAGTTGGTAGAACATCCCTTATATAAGTAAATAAAAATATATTTTTTACATAACAGAAATGTTGTTTCAACAAAGTATGCAGAAAATAATATTATTTGATAAATTACATATGCTAAATGCAACAGGTAAATTTTTTACTCATAAATGACAACATTACGTCACGCGATTACAGCGCTGCGTCTGGGGGACTTCTTTCATGAAAAGGACTATACATACACAAAATAATTGAACATGTGTATAGATATTGTTCACATCGCACTCGGGACCGATAAATGAGGATGAAAGGTTAATGACACACGGTTAAACAATGGTGCTAATCGTTTTTATGTGACAAATGATATGCTGAAATCAAGGCGATATTCGTTCTTGCACAAAAATCGACTTAGAGTCGCCTTTACAACCTTCTAAATAGTTCCGTGATTCAACGTACCTCGTATAACATCGAGTACGTATGTACGATACTCATTTATCGGTCCCGAGTGCGATATTCTATTGAAAAATTAACTAAAATACTGGGATATCTACAACTACGGACTGAATTGGCAGCAAGTGTTTAGGCATGTCAATAAGTCAATAATCGGGAATGGGATTTGAAAAAAACCCTAATAAGTGCCAAAACGTGAGTAAGGATGGTATGGAATAGCTACTCACCCACCTTTATTACGTATCAAAGAAACTATTAGATAGCACGGCGCCAGATCTGAAATTGTATCCAAATTTGTATAGTTCTTGTAAGTGGGCAAGTTATTTTGGAACTTTTCTCCACCCCGCAAATACTAAGTTATGTGTACTTATCTTTAAACCTTGTAGGATAAATTATATGTTCCACAAGTAGTATAATAAATTACAGTCGTAATCGGCATATTTTCCACACATGAAAATATGCCGATTACGACTGTAATTTATTCTACTACTTGTGGAACATATAATTTATCCTACAAGGTTTAAAGTCTCTTGTCAAAAATATACGGTTTAGATATAAGAATGCAACAAAATTTATTGTTATTCAGGTATTTTGTAATTGATGTAAAATATTATACAAGATTAAGTATTTCCTTGTTCTTTAATATACATTCCCTGTATTTCTGTAAGTCTTTATCTCATAAAATCATTCTGCGAAATCTAGACAGCAATGGACGGTGTCTACGAATTGTAGCTACATTGCAAAATATTTATGAAATTAAAAAATTGTTAAATTTCTATTCCTCAATTCAAATCAATTATTTATTATAATGCAATTATCGTTTTGTATATAGGTTTATATAATTATACTGGTGTTCTGAACCGAACAAACAACACATCTACTAAATCGCTGATTAAAATATTAATTTAGTGGCTCACAGATTACATCATTGTATTTAAATAGAACAAGATGATCAATCAGCCTTTTGTGCACGTCGTCCATGTTAGGGTTTAAGTGTAAAATTTAAAGTAGAGACTTATTAGCCCAAATATTATATCGAATACGTTTTTGACAAACGGGAGAAACAGGCTAAGTCGCGACTCTGAATCTGAATGCCGTTTCCTTCAGCATGTGAGCAAAAAAAATTGTTGCATAACCTAGGTTCGACTGAGCAAAGGCTAGGCTACTAGGCTTTTCCTTGGAATATATCCAGAGTGACCCCACATCTCTACGCAACGCCTAGGGATCAGGACACTCTGAAAGGGATTGTTCGTCGACAATTCGATCTGCTCGTCGTTCATTACGGTCAAGTGGAAGGAGCTGGTACTGGAGAGCTCCCGCCCAGAGGTGAGAACAGTACTACATGTGGGGCCGAATTTGCGGTTTATAGAGTTTGAAACGGTGGCCCGGAATGAAGTACCGTCTTGCCTTGCTGAGCACACGAAGCTTTTTGGTGGCTAATTTATCTGTATCTGTTTCATGACCATTTGTCAATCTAATGGGTAAGTAGGTGATCCAGCGCCTATCGTCAACTTTTTGGGCCAAGGCAAGCTGGTTTCCTTGCGATGTTTTCTTTTATGAGAGTCGAGGATTGGTAATAAAAATGCACTTTTTTGGGAGGGGGTTTAATTGAAGCAATGAAATAATTTCGCAAATTAATTTAAGAGGAGTTAACTTATAATTGATATACTTGAATATATTAAAAATCTTTGGTAATTGCAAAGATGTTTAATATTTACAAATATTAAATTGTATTAACATATTTGTTAATTACAACGTCATCATTATCTGTGTCTTACGCTAAGAACTCACGAAGCGGTTAGCACCCGCGCCCGCTGCGGTGGCGGTTTGTTGTTTTAATTCGTTTTAGTCGTGAAATGTGATTGAAATTTTGACATAAATATCTGTATTCTACAAAGGCTGCGGGCCCGGAACCGCGGCGGGTGCGGGTGCAAACCGCTTCGTGAGTTCTTACCGTCATACATTACACGGGTAATCATAACGGTAAAAAAATAATCGGAGACTTATCTACTATATACAGTATTACTACTATATTTACATTGTTCTCTTATAAGTAAAAACATGAAGATCTCCTTGCATTCACACTTTATATAATATAATAATATTAATTATTTTTACAAGCATAACATCTGATGAACCTATCTTCCAAATAGTTGTGAGTACAGATAAGAACATCAGGCGTTTAATTTTTATTTTTATTTTCATTTATATATATTTTTTTGTATTTCATTTTATTTAAAAAACTATCTAGTTTAGTAATAAGCTAATTTGTACATATATTATGTCCAAAGAGCGGTGCTATGACCCTTTGAACGTCTCTTATAATTTATAATGGTAGTGAATCTGCTTTCCACAATATTTCAAATATTACAATTTCGGGCGGGCTGTCCGAATTGCCTGCCAAGGTCTCGGTGTAGCGTGGGTATAGCCATATAAGCCAAAATATATACATAACAACAAGCGATAGATATAGTGCGCACTAATGCTAAGTGATAAAAATATTTCAAAACGATAGTGATAACCAATACGTATATTTCAAGTCTGATTTAAGCGTATCTAGCTATTTTTCTTTTTTACTAAACTTTTTTAAACTTTTATATATTTTTTTCATTGCTTTTTTTGAAGTTTTTATATTTTTTTTATTAACACGTTTTTTATTATTTTTTATTTTTTTTACATTTTCTTTCGATTATTATTATATTTCGTGCAACTAAGCACATCACTCATCAGGATCTTAATCTATTGAGTTAATGATAAAGCGTATCACTAAGGCGTTATTTGGTATATGTAAAAATTTAGAAATTAGCCCAAAACTTATACCGGTTAATTTTGTGATATAAATGCATATAAACCTTATAATTTCGTTAGTAATACTTAAATAGTTCAATATAGAATAAAAATTTACGATTCAAAAGCATAAGTAGACATCTAATATTTTTGGAAGACCGATTTGAATGATCTATGTTGTTAAAATTTTGCTAATACTAATCAAACAATGACATAAATGAACTTAACACAAAATTGAAATTATGAGTAAGAATCAACAAATACTCTTCTGAGGTATTTAGTCTAGAAATATCTAATATCTAATGCAAGCAATCTTCAATTATCCTTAAATATTCTATATATATAAACGATGAAAGGCAAAACTGTGATACCTAGATGTTCATGTATTCGTCATCTAGCCGCTAATTTCGTACAACTAAATAACCTTATTTTTGTATTTTGCGTTTTTAACTTTTTTTTTTTAAATTTTTAAATTTTTAAATTTTTTCTTTTTTTGTATTTTTTATTATTATGAAGAATTATAAATTATACCTAGCAAGTTGTCCATTGATCTCTACTTGGTTTAAGGACTAGATATAAAATTTATTATTTCGGTTTATTGCGAATAAAAATTAATAAAGATTACGTGATCAAACATAAACTGCAGTCAAATATCTAAACATTTAAACGAATTTGAAATCTAATCTACTCATAGCATACTTTTCATCCAATTGATAAATGCGACTTCAGTAATAAGAAAATAGGAACCTGTACTATTGTTGTAGAGATGATTGGACAAATTGAATCCAACAATATAATTAATTACAATATTCATGCCTAACAGATTTAGTCTTGAGCACGGAATATGCTTACGGGGTAATAAGAAAGCTTTACTCAGAACTTCGGAAGACGTCAGTGAAAAACTGGAGTAATGAACATCTACTTAAGATATGGAATAAACAATTACGAAGCCTATCCTTATACTAACAACAATGACAATCTAATTAGAGACCTTGCAATGTTAAGAACTAAATTTAAAAAATATTGCTACACGAGATAAATAGTATACGATTTTTTCATAATTTGAATGCGTAATCTATACCGACCTCATCCAAGATCTATAGTTTACGCTGCGAATTAATAAAAAAAATAGAGGCACGGTGGAAAGAGTCTCCAATTAAAGTGTTTCGTTTAAGGCGTCTCGATGGTATTAATATATAACAGTATTTAACAGCTTTAATAAATATATCTTCTGATACTACGTCTGTGTGTAGGCACATTGAACACAGCTATCTGCCCTCGTGAAAAAGTAATATACAAAATATAATTTATGTTCATAAAGACATCAAACGTTGCAGCTTTGTCTCTATTCACACAACTTGGAGGTAACTGAACCGCACTGAAGGAGCAGGAAACCAATGTAGGTAAACTATCAAATATTAGCAAAATCTTAAATTATTGGCGAGTATGTTAGCTAATGGATATTAAAACTACATACTTAATAAGGGCTAAATCGAGGGTGTAAAAATGTCGATGTCGCGACCGTAACCGAATAATCTAACTTACATTACCGATATATGAGGTAGTCCGAATCCAACTTATTCGTATGAGGCAACAGTGGTTTAT